ATAAGACGGGCCAAAGAGCGTATGAAAGGGTTAATTAGATGGAATAAAGTTACATATTGTATCTGATTTTCACCTCAGTGACAGCATTCACATGTAGAAAGCTAGTCAGAGAGAAACGTGTTTGAAAACTGAGTGATGGGCAGTGCTGCGCATGAACCGAGCAGAATGAACTTCCTGCCGTAAAGGCTTCAGATGTTATTCTCCAGTTTTCCCCGGTGTAGGGGATGGAAGAGCACTAATCATTGTGCATTTGCTTTTCTTCTTCCAAGGATACCTACAATCAAAATATAGACCCTAGAGAACGCTCGATGAATCTGTTCGATGGCGCACTTCCCTTTCGTGGGGTACTTACCACTGCTTAGAATTCATATGGGCACTATTATCAAAATTTCAAAGACACTAGTCTCAAGAGAATCCAGCGTTCAAGACAAGTCAGTTGGAGACCATAAACCGGATCTCAACTCGCTCAAAGGTCTTGCTGAAGATGTTTGATACTGTAACTCGATACAAGTAAAACTTGTTACATCGTTCCAATTTGTAACATTTCGTGTTTGAATACCGGAACGAGGCATTTGAAATGCAGGAAAATTGGAACGCGGGGGCTCATTGAACAGTGAACACGCTCCCTGGAGGGTTCATGAAACGATCCGATTTTTTCCTTAGGGTGCCTTAAAAGAAATTAGAATTGGATCAGATGTCAGCCCCGTCCATTCAACGATCCTCTGTTTTCACTTTTCGATGCGACCTCCTTTCATTTCGATAATAATTTACTTCAGTCGTTTTGGGAATGACTCGATTACAGTAAGTAGGTAGATCACGTGTAACTCCTCCCATTCTCTAAAAAAGGAACGTCTTAGAAGGGTTGATGTTTGGTTTGGAGAAACGCAAGCTTCTTTCTTCAAACCCAGATAGTGTAGTCGAGGGGGTTCAGATCCGTTGAGGAAGAAAGTCACTTCTCACTAGGATGAAATAGGCCTCGCACCACGTCTGCACCTTGAAGTCCGCCTGCACCTTATGCTGTGGTGCGCTGTTTCGAGTGAGTGATCGCGATTGTACTCGGTCGTACATAGGTTCTCATTAGAGTAACGTTTTTTCAGACTAGAATTTGAGTATTATTCCTGGTTGGTCTGATCTTGACTCCGGTTTTGGAGATAACCAGTTGCGTCCTCCCAATCGACCACAATACAAGTGTCCAAACCATTGCGTGTAGTGCAGTTGTGGCTCAATCAATGACTTTTTCTTAGGTATCGGGCTCGTCCCGTAGACGTCCTAACGCGATCACATTGTGCTTTCTGACAGGACAACCGTCCTCCGCACAGACAGGGGTTAAGTCCGAGTCGTCTTCTGACGATATTATGAGCTATCCCTTTCNAGCTATCCAAGCTGGTTTGCTCACCGGTTTTCCTTCCCGAAGTTAGCCACTCAGGGGATTTGCTTTCTGAAAGCCGTGAATGTGACGGGTGGCCGTTTAGCGAGACAGCCTGAGGCGGTCACGGCATGTGTCCTTCCAAGGAATTGCATTACCTTAGTGCATGGTGAACAGAAGACTCAATCCTTTTTCTCAAACTGGATGGATTTGTACGACAATTTGAAGGCAAGTGGGGAGTTTGTGGATTCTGAAAATCAATATTATAGTACTTTATACACGTGTATACTGAATTATCTCCTGCTTCCCTGCATGCTTTTTGGGGCAAAAATGCTACCGTGATTCTTTCTCACGTGGTCAGGGCGAGCTCCGCCGTTGATCAGTCCTCTGAAAACTCTTTCCTTGTAATCATAATCGCCTGGACTTCTTTGTACATCATCCGCCTCTACGCCAAAGCCTCCGATTTTGTTGATTGTTTCAGTAATTTGTTTCGTCTTAATGTTTTTGTTAAGTTTGTTTCAGTAATGGCCACGAAGAAAGATGATCCAGCGACGATTTTCGTCTCTCGAATAGCTACTGTGACGTCGTTGCTAGCCATTCTTAGTTGTTCTGCCCTGTACACCGCTACGGTCACTGAAATAGAGATATTTTTGAACAGTTATGAGAAAATGGTTGCATCTTTTCAGGTCGGTCCGTTTTCTTACAAGTTTCTGTGTACCGATTACTTATTCTTATTCTTCATTGAAGTACTTGGGGTTTTCTGATTTCCGAAAGCAGTGTAGGGCAGTGGGGTGGGGTGAATGCCACCGTTACACCCTCTTCGGTAAAGCTGCACCAGGTAGTCAGTTTTGAGTAAATGCTGTAGAATACAGCTATCCAAACGGTACTGGAAGCGTGGCGTGTGTTGGCGGGAGGATACGTTGTACATAGGTACGTCTGTTTTTTGCTGCCTCAGCTAGTTCCTAGCTATGAACTCATTGCAGTGCCACTCAGTCGCTTCGGGGATGCATTTTTTCATATAACATGGGTGTTTGTTAAAGTTACCGGTAGCATTCCAAAACGACACGCAGTAATAGACTGATGATACACCTACTAAGATAGGTGCACAGCCATCGAGACCAGGAAACGTCATATGCTACGAGCAACGGCTTCACCCATTCGATGAACTTAATTCTCATTACAAGCATCGGTGGAACACCAGTGGTAGATGCCTGCTATCCCAACTGTTCTGAACTGCCTCCAAATGGAAAAGGTCCGACGGAATATTTACTATCCGCGTTTTCATTCCTTGTATGCAGGAGAACTATCACCCAGTGCCATTCTAAAATATCAAGTAAGTGGATAATCCCTCAGACCAGTTATGGTAAGCAAACCGTCAGAAGTCGTACATTGGGAGACGTTATGGACTAGTTGAAATATAAAGCAATCGAGGTGTTTTTGAAGCATAAATAAGCGTTATAATGAATCTAATTACATCACCCCCTTCATATGTTTACCTTCACAGAGGGTGGATGGTGGTGTGGTGGCAAGTAGTGCACTATCACACACTTGATCTGATTGGGGTTTACCGAATTCCGAGAGCAGTGTGGGTTAGGGGTGGGGTAGAATGCAACCGTCACAACCTGTTCGGTAAAGCTCCACCAGGTACTCAGTTTTGAGTAAATGCTGTAGAATTTAGAGGTTTGGGAGGATAAAAGCGCTGACTAGCACACTCTGATTACCGAATCTCATTGTGTACCTTAGTTACGCATTCAACCAAGAGTTTGAAGTGAAGTCGAATATGGAAGGGGGGGGGGGGGGGGGATGGTAAGGGGTATCTGATCCATTATCCTTTTCATTTTCGCAGCAGTGCAAATATTGCCATAATGATGAAACTCCGACGCTATGCTAAGCACCTATTTTTCTTAAGTCTTTTCTCAATAGGGAGAATTTTGAACATTGACTGAGTATGCAATGTGCTGAAGCTTTTAGGATACTCATCAGGCCGCTTATGACGACTTGCAATCGCTCGCTGTTAAGCGGTTAAAAAGAGGTGCATTATACACGCCAAGGACGAGTTACACCGACTACGTCGTTGAGGACGATAGAGGCGATAGAGGTGAAAGACGTGGCAATCACCGTCGCGAACCCCGGTATCGTGCTTCCTTCGAACCTAAAATCTGTGGTAAGTCGATGACTTTTAACATGATTCGGTCGAAATTAAAACTTACGAGTCTCTCATTAATTTCTCCATGTACAAAAACTTACAAGAAACTTCTATGAAATTATATTAGGGGAAGCAAGAAGCAAGAAAAAATTCCTACAGGCTGTGAGCTCGCTATTTGAATGAAGAAGAGCGCATATCAGAAGTTTCTGCACTTTCGAAAAGCCGGCATCGCTCATGCCAACAGGGCTAGAACCGGAGAGACTTTGAGGATCTAGTGCAAATTCATTCAACTTAACCTCGATGAGGACGGGTGTGGTGCAGTAGGATCGAAATTGTCGCGTTGCGGCGAAAGGGACGCCGCGCGCGCTGGAATGTAGCCAAATGCAGCGGCAGGTAAGAAATACAGTAACAAAGGAACTAATAGTACAATCATGCCTAAAATAATGATCGCATATGGATCAAGCATTCTGAAGAACGGAAGAGCTGCAATAACGGCGAAGCAAATGGTCCGCGACAGCCGCGTGCAGCAAACTAGTTACACATAACCGATACTACTGTTCGTTTCCCGATAAGGACAGCCTAACACTTTGAAAACGGGCTGGAGAATTTGTTTACCTTACAGTTGTTACCTCCAGCATAGATTCCGCTGTATTAAGACGTGGCGCATAGGTGCTTCGTCATAAAATCAGGTTTACCTTCGAGTAAAGAGTTAAACTGGTCACTACTTTTGAATATATTTACTCTGATTAAATATCCCTGGTGCAGGTAAAATGATATTGAGCATTCTTTCAAGGGCAATCATTCACTTTTCCTGGAAACTTGTTTTTTCCATTGCTACCTACAGCGTCCCGAAAACCTGTCCATGGTCATTGGAATGATTTCTGAACACTCCATTTAGCGGAATCATTGCGTAGCACTCAGGCCCAACTTCACCTATCTTTGAAAAATCATGAACCCTGGTCGTAAGGGTACCGTGACAAAGGTTCAGTCTAAATGATCACTCTGACTTCCGCACTCACATCTTCTTCACCAGGAAAGTCTAATCGGGGGTACTGTTGAAACGATCTACCCGAAGCGTAACCTTTTCCGTGATACCTTACGGTCCTACTTCCGATTTACCTTTCAGTGTAGACTGATGGTGCGATGAAAGCCTAGTGTCTCGAGGATTACAGACTCAAGAGTTATTCCTTAGATTTTGTGCCATAGACAGCATCTTCCACGCTTTTCACTCTTTGAGCATCTTATTATCCGTACTAAATATTAAAGTCTATATTTTAACAGTCAATATACCCATCAAACTCTTGAAAACACCAGAAACTGGTTCTTGGGTAACGAGCAACGAACTTTCGCCACGCCAATGAGCTTGCTTATTGCTTTCCAAAAACTCCTATAGCCAAGTGCCTATTGTTACTCGGAACCAAAACTCTAACATATATCCGAGTGTAGACTATTTTTATACCAAAAGATTATAGGATCTGTATTCCAGATTGCACAATTATCCAGTGCCCACGCGGTCCCCGTGGCCCACCCGGAAACAACGGGGTACCGGCAGATGACGGACTACCCGGTGTTCCAGGACGTCCTGGTGTAGATGGAGTATATTTAGGAGAGGAAACAATTTGTCCACCATGCCCACCAGGGCCTAGAGGAGAGGACGGACCACGAGGAGAACAAGGTTAATCTGTTCATTGTTGTAGAAAAACATCCTTGAAGTGATTTCATGGAAAACCAATTTAATTTAATATGCATTAGATGCACTATGGTATGCAGGAAGATTTATGAGGACTTATTGAATTTTTCACAAAAATCATTCCTGGCCAAGCTTGAAATGAGAAGCTGCAAAAAGTTGTGGCAAATCACGAAATTGGTCCCATGTATCAAAGTAGCCTTCGCTCATAGCCCTGTGATGATCTCCTGGGCCAGCCCTGAAAAATCCATTTATTTTTCTAAGATATGCCTTTTAATAGGAGAAAAAAGTATTGTGGGAATGTAGTTAAAACAGAAGTATGTAATAGTTTCCAACATTTAGGAGCACTTAAACCCCTGATAACCTTGGTGAGGGGTTTATGCTACTGATTTATAGTCAAATACTGATTCAGTGTTGAAAGCTTAGCCAAATTCCAAACGTATCTGTTTCACAGCAAAATGTTTCAGGTGAACCAGGAAAACCGGGGATTCCTGGATTGCCTGGGACCGATGGAACAAACGAGCCAGGCCCTGCTGGAGCCCCAGGAAGTAGGGGTCAGTCAGGAAGACCTGGAAAACAGGGCATTCCTGGTGAGCCAGGACAAGACGCAGTTCAGCTCATCGGTGTACCTGGGCCAAAAGGAGAACGAGGACCTCCTGGATTCCCTGGGCCACGTGGAGATCCAGGGTTCAGTGGACTGCCGGCCCCTCCAGGTTTGTTACGCATGTGAAAAGGTACAGTGCTAAGTTTACCGTCTCTTCCAGGACCGGAAGGACCGCCAGGACCGCCTGGAGAGACTGGAGATCAAGGCGATTTTGGACTACGTGGTGCACCAGGACGAAAAGGTCCTCCTGGAGAAGACGGAGGATACTGTCAATGTCCTCCTCGAGAAGGTTTGCTTGAAGGCTTATACATGATTTCTCTTCTCATCCGAACATCGACTGTATGATGGAAACTTTCTCTCCTTGTTTATGGTGCAGTGTTCATATTCTATCGGGAACTTGTAGGTACTTTGCCACGGTGACGCCGTTATCTTCTCCTTTTCTGTCTGTATTCTTTCTGTTCTGAGCCGGTTCTACTGGCTTCTCCTAGTTGGCCCAAATGTTGGCTGCGTGGAAATGAAAATGGACTGATTTAAAAACAGGATAAAATATCTTTTGAAACGAATTTTGTCGTTACCAACGTTCTTGTGGTAGCACTAAACAAAGTTCTGGGGTTTGGTTGAAATACCATTTTTGAAATTTACCAAAAAATCTCCATCTATGTATCAGTTATTTCGATTCGGGTATCAGTAAGAAGTGTCTCCTGATGAATAGAACCCTAATCGGGTGACGGACCATTTAGTCTGTTTGCGGGGTGAGAGGAAATCTCAACGTTATCCACTTCCTCATAAGTTCTCCAGTCATTTCGGGGCCCGGGTGCGCTTCACTTTTTTTTCGAAACGAAGACATTTTTTGCTCCTTTTTGCTCCTTTGAACATTCGATGTCGATGTACATTGGTAAAATGCACTGCACTGGATTCTGAAGGCCTGAAAAACGTGTCTTACTTCAAGGAACCGGAGTAGCGAACCGTGCCGGCGTGCAGCAACTTCCTGCTAGCTGGGAAGAATATCCAGAGCCTCCTCCACCTCAATACAGAAAGCCAAAACCGTCATTGTCAGTAAGGCCGCAGTTCACTGAAGACGAATATATCGAATATCAACGTAAAAATAAAAATAAACACTATAAGGATTCTCCTCAAGCGAATATCTGGTAAGTTCATTTGAATTTGATACTTGTGATAGATCGAGCTGTTATATGGAAATCACTTTCCCCCTTGCTGGAACTGCATAGGCCGTTCGCCGTATTTGTTTTATTCAATATTTAATAGGGATTGAATCGGCAGAGTTCCAAGACACAAGCTTTTCTGTAAAAAGTGAATCATGCCCAGATGAAATCAACAATCCTCTTTCTGTGACTGCTAGGGTAATGATTGGACGGCTGCGGGCTCGAAAACGTGATGCATCACAAAATCTTCAGATCCTGAGCTCGAATCCTCAGTTTCTAAGTTCATGCTCACGATCGCGGTGGCTTTTGCCTGGATACCCAAACGACCTTCACAAGGACCACGAGACTCAAAATTTTCGAAAAAGACGTTTTCATTCACAAAATGAAAATAGCTCTGGCACCATCTGAGTAGTTGGATAAACCAAAGGGATTGGGAACCTCGCAGTAACAGGGAATCGAATTGAGGGATGATATTATTTCACTACTTACTGCTCTTACTGCTCGCTATTTCTTTTCTGAATACCTTCAGCTTGGCTTAATCAAGAAATCACTGTTGAAATAAACTCGTTTCAATGGCCCTGAGCATTTTATTGTACCTGATATAGATCTTCAGGCCAGACAGACATTTGTAAAATCATAGACTTAGTGGATTTGTTCCATCAAAGAAAGTTTTTCAAGAAAACCTCTTCTTTACAAGTAAGTCATTTTGCAGGCGTTCTCCGAATTCTCCAATGATCAGCTATCGCGACTCCAGGGAGAAGAAAACACATAGGGTGAGTAGTTCCAAAGAATACGACAGATTTCGAAGGCAAGTTACCATCTAGTCGCGCTTTCAAGTATCACGTGGACTGCTTCCAGTCATTGCTACCAAGTTATTAACCACTTTTATCTCAAAGTACAGGAATCCGACTCATCAAAAAAAAGAAGTTTCAGCGGCTTCCCGCTATTCGACCAATTGACAGCAAAAAGGCTACAAAGACAGGAGAAGCGATCGAATTTGAACTTCGTGCCCGATTATAGTTTTGAAATCCATTCACAGTTCGTTTTCAGTTGATCATATGCAGTGACTGCCTAATAAACTGATTTTATTTTTCATCCGATTTATCTGTGCACTGTTCTGAAATTTGGAGAGTACTGATTTTGGAAATGAAAGTCACGTGGTAACAGCCAACTGAAGCCGGTAAGCAGCTGAAACAGCAGTATGTATTATCGTTCGCATGGTGGTATTCAAAGAAAAAAGATTCCCTCTCAAAGTTTGCCGCAGTTGGACGAAGTAAAGTAAAGGAAGCGAGAGGCTGAGCAGTAGAAGTCATAACTGGAAAATAAAAGTAGGGCATAGGGTCCAGAAAAGGGGTCAATGTTTACAGTCAAGCAGTCAAGCACAATATGATAAATCGGTGAAAATGTGGTTGGGGGGGCACCTATCACAATGTCGGTATATCAAGAAATGAACTCAATGAAACGCTTTATGTCGTGTTATACCACGGACATGCCAGTTTTTAAATAAGGGCTCTCGTAGGGAAGGAGCACCGCGGTGGGCAAGTTTTCTTTCTTTTTTTCTTTTTTTTTTGCAGGAGGTAATCATCCCAGTCACCCAGACGCTCCTACCCTACCTAGATTTATTTGGGAAACTAAATTTCCTCAGCGGAAACCGCATAAAAGAGCTAAGCTGGTCGATTCCCATCATGCTCTACGCATCCGATACAGCGCTGATATAACAAAGGCTGACACGTGAGACTGAGTTCATTTCTTGATATGCTGGCCTTCGGATGGGTGGNCCCCCCCCCCCGACTACATTTTCACCGATAAATCAAATAAACCCTGTACCGTGTCGAATCACATAGTTCAGGTGGGGATGACCGAAAAAAGAGATAAAGAGTATTCATGCAAGGGCGAAGGAGACGAACTAGTTTTCAGATACTGCTGGCTACCCGTCATATTTATATAGTACCTGGGATCATTTTTTTTCCTTCGGCAATGTTCCTTACAAACATAAACACCCTTACCCCCTTCTCAATTTTTTAGATGTTTTAGGGCAAGTTTCGGGCAAGGTTTTTCGACGTAAAACTCAGGGAGGGAAGCGAAGAAGATAGAAAGTTGATGAGACCACGCTCACTTTCAAAAAATTACTTATGTTAGTAGATAAACTAGGAAACTATCGGGCAAAGAGTCGAGTAGAAAATTTTACAAAAGGATATCGGGAGGTAGGAACATGCGGGCTCAGCTTAATAACAGGAGGCCGCTTAAAAAAGTGTCAACTTACGTCAGTGTTCGCCATTGGCGTCCCAAAGCAGTAAAGAGCTTCTGAATGCCCCTATTTTTGAGGAATACCAATAGACCAAGTTATTTGATAGGTCGATACCACCAATTTTTGTTGGTGATCAATATTTGTGAGGCCATTTCGAGGGCAATGAGGGTACGAAGTGGTTTCTGGTTAAGTTGAGTGCAAGACTCGGTGAAGTATGCGTATATTGTTATTGAGTTCACTGGCTGACTGCTCACATAAGGTGGCCAAAAGAGCTTAATCGTTCTGCCGATTGAGAAAGCAGCAAGCCATGAGTGAGACAGACGTCAAACGTCGCTGTCCTGCTGCAACCTTCGGCGACTGCTATCAATAATAATGGTAAGCGTTCTGCTTCAGTTAACCAGTATATTTATGAGATGCAGTAAAAAGAAGTTTTGGTATTTTTGGAATAACAACCGTCGAGAGGGAGAGGGGGGAACTACGTCAGTATTTGCGGTTGGGTGAATTAAACGTGAGACACATCAAACAACTTCCTTCAGGTAGTAATCGGCATCCGTCATTCATGTAATGACTGGCAATTTTGTGGGGTAATCTCATTCTTGGTCTATGTACACACATCCTACCGATTACTACGATCACATCATAATGAATCAACCCTAGTCCATAGTGAGCTCTCGCAATTGGCATTCTATTCGATCATTCCTTAGCAGTTTTTTCTATCGAATTTCCGTCACCGATCGGATATGGGCAAATTCACCCAATTCCGGATGGATGCGGCAAACCGCGCGGCGAAATTCTTGGTGATTTTAACGACTCTGGCGCCTATCATTGGGGCACAGGTTTTAGGTAGATCGGATAAGCAGGGCCAGCTGATGCTACTTATCTACCCTGCTTCAAATTTGTGCCCCAATGATAGCCCCCAGTGTCGTTCAAACCACCACGAATTTCGCTGCGCGGTTTGCCGCGTCCATGCAAAAATGGGTGAATGTTCCTTCCCCCTCACCGATCTATCAATTCTGGTTGCTTGACGTCAATGGCAGTTCCACATATAGGATGTTTGAATATAGATGAAATAGAGAATGAAAAATATTCCTTCCAGGGTTGACGCCTTTTTTTAAGAAATTCAGGGGGAGTGCCTCTTTGAAACCTTCACAATAAAGACTGGCTTTTATATGGTCGGTAGGGTTTCCCTGTGATAAAGTGAAGTAGCAAGAGGGATATGGGGTAGGAAACTGCCGCAAGGTTAGAGCTGAACAATAGAGAGAACGAGTGTTTACAATTCTGTTGGTTCAATTATTCTCAGAAGTTTTCGTTAGAGGGATAAAGTTCCTTTCTCATTGTACCTGCTTCTTGCATACTTTAATTTGAGTGATCCGCTTACGTCGTGCAACGAATCCTAGCTAGATGCCTCGCCACCAAGCTATGTCGTAGTTGGTTGTCGTCCTTATTTGCCCAGCCGCTCCGATGCCGCTCAGGGTTCATGCTCGATTACTAGATTTTATCCCGGTAAAACAGAAGAGTTCTCTGGCACAGCACTCTTGTTCATAAATGCCTAACATTGATCTCGTCCCAATCTCCCATCCCTTACAATCAGACCATCGCTGTGGACCCTTTGAACGCGACGACTGAATCAGAATCAAGTATTCTCGATGATACGGGAGAATATGGCTGTAGACTGCGTTGCCTTCTCAGACCCGTGGTAAACGCATGGGAGGAGGATTAAGCTGTTCGAGTTCTTAAAAGCCTTCGCTTGAGCTGAAAATTTTTGGAAGAGACTGACGGTTTCTCAAATTTTTTCCTTCACTGTAATTACCGTTTATACTCTCAGCACTCAGCAGGTGAATGTAGAGACATAAATTCGCTCTATGAAAGAATGATGAAGTGAGAAGTCTTTTGGAGGAATTTGAACATTAACTCTTGTAACATTTCACACTTTGGAGATGCAAATAAACAAAATAAGCGGAAGTGAACGCTATGGCATTGACGTTGTTGTTCTTTTTCTGGAATTTCCGGCAAATGCGACATGCTTTCGTCAGCACTCTTCTTATGCCTCTGAACTCTTGCTCAGCTCATAACGACCATTTGTACTGCGCCTCCTAAAGACTATTATTTACCCATTAGGGTTATAATCAAGCTTATTCTTCCTCGGTGAGACCTGGGAGATTTAGCGACGGTTACTATTACTTTGCTTTTAGACCGAGGACCAAACCCTTGAGTGGATCCCGTGCAGACCATCTAGGTCTGCGACCCTTCCTCTCGATCCACGATGGGCCAGCGATATTTGGCTATCACGCGTGGAAAAAAATGCTGAAAAATTAAAAGATGACAAAAACAAACTTTAGATGGCCATCATAAACACTGTGTACATCACAGAGTGTTTCAAACGCTACTGCGGTTTTAATGGAAAATGAAGTTCATGATGCATCCCGAAGAAAGTTTGGTAATGGTTTTGTCATAGTACCGGATGGTAGAAAAAATGAGTTCATTCAGTCTAATAACTTGACTGTTACTGCTTTGACCAGCCTTGTTTCTGCGCCATTTTTGACTCTATTTTTTTCACTTATGACAGCCCTTAGCAACCAACACCCAGCGTACTTTTCCCAGCATCAACCCTGTTCCGTTCCTTGACTATAACTCTGAAACTGGAAAAAATCAACTTGCGGATCGTAATTTTTGGCAAAGCAGTAAATTGCGTCACTATAGCTGCTCACATTATGGCCTATCGTTCCTCCTAAGGCACGGCA